GCTAATTTTTTGATTTATTGTAGAGATGAGGTCTTACCAAGTTGCCCAGGCGGGTCTCGACCTGCGGGCTCAGGCAATCCACTCACCTCAGCCTCCCAAGGCGCAGGATTACAGGTTGAGCTACCGAGCCCGGCTCCCTCTTATTTTTGTTGTCCTTGGAGATACACACTGAGAAATTGTTTGTAGGCTACTGAGTAGTGTTGAGTTACTTCTGAAGAGAAGAGGCAAATGAAGAAAATCTATTTGATTTAGGAACCATTACTGGCAGTGTCTTAAATCCCACTGGTTATTTTTAAATATGAGAGGAAAAACTAGTGGATTAATTCTAGATTTTCTAGGTTCTTTTTTCTTGTAATACAGACCTTAGTATTTGTTAATTTTAGTCTGATTTTCCAGAATTGCCACTTAGAATTTCAGAGTTAATTTACTATTTAAAATAGAATGATACTTTGAGGTTTTATATTACATCTATCTATTTCTTTAAAAATCTTTTAATTTAGTTAGGAATGGTAGTGATTTATCATAAAAGTAGATATTTTTCTTATTTAGTGTCTTACTTCTTGTAGGAAAGTTTGAGGGAAATTTTGAGTCACTGGACCTTGCAGAATTTGCTAAAAAACAGCCATGGTGGCGTAAGCTGTTCGGGCAGGAATCTGGACCTTCGGCTGAAAAGTATAACGTGGCAACGCAGCTGTTAATCGGAGGTGTCACTGGATGGTAAGTGATGTGAAAAAGATGTCCAATGTCTTTTGTGTATGATACAGTATTGTAATTATAAGTACCATCTCCTTTAACCATGAAAACACATTGACTTTTATGAAATTGGTCAATTAGTGTGTAGCATTTATCTAAATATGTTAAAGTACTGTGAATGGTTACATGTTGTAAGTAATTACTGCAAGCAGGTACTGTTTTAAGTATTTGCATAGATTTCGTTCTCATTTCCTTCTCACAGCAACTTTGAAATTGGTATTGTTATCTCTCCTCATTTTATAGAAACAGGCTCAGAAAGGTTAACTTGCCCAAGGCCACATAGCTAGTAAGTGATGGAATAACGAGCCAGCTACTTACTAGCTAAGTCAGATGATAATTTAATGTGACACAGCTTATGGTTTCATTTATAATAAATTCAAAAAATGTTAATAGCAAATTTAGTAAGTGAATATTGACTCCTTCAATTTCATAAACTCTTTACACTTGAAAAATTTTATCATACAATATAACAAATGTAGAATAGTTCATATGACACGTGTACATTTTTTTTTTTTTTTTGAGTTGGAGTTTTACTCCGTCGCCCAGATTGGAGTGCAGTGGCTGCTCCCGGCTACCGCAGCCTCGACCCACTGGGCTCCGGCGATCCTTCTGCCTCAGACTTCCGAGTAGCCAGAATTACAGGCGTGCGCTACCATGCCCGGCTCATTTTTGATTTATTGTAGAGATGAGGTCTCGCCAAGTTACCCAGGCAGGTCTCGAACCTGTGGGCTCAGGCAATCCACTCACTTCAGCCTCCCAAAGGCACGGGATTACAGGCTGAGCCACCGTGCCCGGCTGACACGTGTACATTTTAACAAATCTTTAGAGTAAACACCTGTGTAACAACTACACAGGTTAAAAAAATATGACTAGCACTCTAGAAACTCTAGAGGCTGTTAAGCAGTTTTATATCCTTGCTTTTCTTTGTAATTTTAACACCAGTTCTGTCACTAAATAATGTACTTTAGTTTACCTAGGTTTGCACTTAAAGTAAGTGCAATTATATGCATTCTCTTAATTCTTATTTTTTTTTGTTGTTCAATCTGATGTTTTGTATATTCATACACTGTGTGTAGTTGGGGTTTCATTTTCATTTGTATTTAGAATTTGGTTGTGTGAATATACCACATTAAATTTGTCCAGTTGATGACTGATATCTGAGTCTTTTTAAGTTTTGGTTAAAAGTAAACAATGCTGATATGTACACTTTTTTTTTTTTTTGAGTCGGTCGCCCAGACTGGAGTGCATTGGCCACTCCCGGCCACCGCAGCCTAGCCTGCTGGGCTCCAGCGATCCTGCCGCCTCAGCCTTCGGAGTAGCTGGAATTACAGGCATGTGCTACCACGCCCGGCTGATTT